CCCCGCGCTGCGGCAACCCCGCTCCCGCCAAGGGAGGTCCGCGCCCCCGAGGGGCCCCCGTGTCGGGGCATTTTTTGCAGGACACAAAAAATGCTAGGGGCTGCACGTCGGCGGTGCGCATCCCCCTCTGTTTTTTTTTTTTCGATTTTCTCCCCCCCCCCCCCCCCCCCCCATACAGGGGGCCGGGGTCCCGGGTGCCGACCCCCGGAACCCCGGAACCCCAGCGGGGTCCCGGGGCCGGGGGTCGACAACCCTGATTGGAGGGAATCCATGCGCTTCAAATTTTTTTGGATTCGCTGTCTCCACGTACCCATTAGGGTACTACCATATGTGGAAGGCGCAATTGAAGCCATATATGGGAAAACTTTGAAGTCCTACCCTGCCTCCAAAGACCAAAAAAATCCCTCTCTTTTGAAGATTTGGCGTGGAGTCTTCGGCACGTTCCAGGTAAAAAAGATTCTTGGAAGTAGACATGGAGGAAGGTGGTTTTGTGGAACTCGAGGTGATTTGTACTTCCACTCCATGGTGTGAATGTTGCCGCCGTTATTTCCACTTAGAAAATGACGATGATTGCCCCTACACAACGAAGAAAGTTTCAAAGAAGGACTGGGGAAAAAAGAAACTCCCCCCAAATGTGAAACCCCAAGCGAACAAGGGAACAGGGAAAGAAAATCAGGCCTGGCGAGGGAAAGAAGGGGGAACAAGGCCAGGTCCTCAAAACCAGGGAAAGAAAGAGCCCGTGGCTTCTCTCACGAAAGGCCCCCCCTCCGTTTCACACCACATCGAATCGCAAAACAATCAGTCTGCCTTGAGAAGGGCGAGCGGTATCTCTCAGCGGGGAGCGGGGCCACAATAGGGTCTGGGGAAGGGCAGCCCCCCTTCGTATAAAGAAGCGCTTAAATCCCCCCCAGTGACTCCGGAGGAGAGGCAACAGGCAATAGAAAACAACAAGCAACAAAAGACTCTGCCTACCCCCCCACCACCACCACAGAAGACCCAACAAAAAATATCGACAAAAACCACACGACAGAACATGGAATAGTCTCAGACAATGACCATTAGAGCAACAATAACAAGAATACTCAGTCGGTGGTTGATCCGACAGACACTGACGCAGAAACAAGGACAAAGATGGACTCGTAACAGGGGGAAGCGGAAACAAATATGGAAGAGAGGAAGATGGGAGAAAATGAGGAGGAGGAGGAGGAGGAGAGAGAGGAAGAGCTTAATGAGGACGAAGCGCTCGTAAGAAAGACCCCCCCCCCCCCCCCCNCCGGATGGGTACCCGAGCAGATTAAATCCAAAAAAACCCTTTATATCGTACATCAGACCGCAATCCAAACCAGATATCACGCGCTGTATCCGGACTGGTATCCTAGCACGTTAACCCAAAATTTTAGGACCCGCCCAATCAAGATCATGTATAACTAAAAATAGGGCTGGCCGGGCGGAGAAAGTGCAGGTCGGGTTGACAAAACGACAAAAGTTAAACCGACAAGACAAAATCGGCAAAGTTGTGATGGTCCTGATCGTGTCATCCACCCTTACGGTGGGGTCTTCGACGACGAACCGATGTACTTCACCCGTGTCCCTGTACCCGTGCAGCCAGCGCATCCTGGTCAAAAATAGTGTTGGGGTCCACCTCCCGAGTAGCGGTCAAGTGGGCTCCCGGAAAAAAGGTAGCCGAGATTCCGGAGAGCTTCGTTACCTGAACCTCCTGAAGCTGGACTTCGCACAATAAGCTACCAACATCTTCGAGAGTGCCGCGTTCTCTGCAGTCTTGGCCAATTCGGCTAAGGCACTGAGAGAGACCTCCGGGGCTGTCTCTTATACACATCTAGATGTGTATAAGAGACAGCCCTTTGCCTGCACCCTCTCCTGAAACAGGAAAGGCTGCAGAGACTCTGAGTCACCTGGAGGAACCCGACGCACAGTGGCAATTGCCCAACTTGTTTAATGAGCAGGTTCAACCTACATGCGCAGAAGGTACTAATAATCTTGTAGATCGAAGCCAGGACGAAGAAAACGAAAAGCCCGAACATGAGTTTCCCTCCCCCATGGGTGATCAAGAACCTAATCCTACCGCTGTTGCACTAGATCTTAAGAAGAAAAACTCGGTTCGATAAAAGAAAAAAGACACGTTCTCTAGCAGAGGTAAGGAGGCTCGCCCCAAGAAAAACCTCCACATACAGACCGAGACAGACCATTCGACGCCGACAACTTCCCCTGCTAAACGTTCTCGCATTGACCTTAATAAAACAACTTCACGGTTCCAGGGAGAGGAAAGTCCCCGAGAAATTATTGTAAGTTCTGCTAAAAAAAGAGAACGCCCCTCCGACCTGAAAGCGGTTAGACGGTCTCTCTCTCTATCAGCCCCAGTGAAATCTCTGTCTAGAGCAGATAAAGCGCTCAGACACCTTTCCCTCTATCTGGTACCTCTGGTCTATTTGCCCACATCATGAGGAGCTTAGGTTCTGACACTCTCCGCGGAGGTTGGGTTCTGAAACTTCCCTCCATTCCCATCTACTCCCCCCCTTCAGGGGAAGATGTGATCAGAATGTTCAATAAGCACTTTCTTCTGGACACAGCAGATACAGGGATACTTTCTGAACAAAGAATGGCCAGGTATTTTGTGGACATGCCAGGGGAAGTCCAAATAGCTTTGTTTTTTGCCTTCCTGGTCCTTGATATGAAGCAAGACAAAGACATTACATCTGTTCCCATGCAATTTCACTGAGTAGACATAACGCATTTATCTACCCCTCACTCGGAATTGCTGAAAAGCATTAACTTGGCCAATACTTTGACAACTCAGGTGGTAGACAATCTAGGACTGATACAGGAGGAGTTTTTCAGAGAGCAACTTCTCAAAACTCGGGCAGAAGTTGCCCAGAGGTCCCTCCAAGCACCTCCGGTGCAACCCAATCCTTCAGAAATTGGGCTGGCCGCAAACACAGGTCGGATCCAATATTGTAGCGTCAAGGACCTAACCAATGGTTCTTCCCAACAAAATTAGAATATTAAATTGGAATGTGCGCGTCCTAGGTGACTCTAATAATACTTTCAAGAAAAACCGTCTGTCTTCCTGGATTCACAAATATAATGCCCATCTAATCTATCTCCAGGAAACTAAACTTGATGTGGAAAAATTTGTTGAAGCCCAAAGATGGTGGTTGGACCCACAAGTTTGGTCTCCAGCGGACAGATCTAAGGGGGGGGTCGCAATCCTGATCAACAAAGATCTTGACATTGAAGTTCTAGACAGTTGTTCTGATACAGAAGGCCGTTGGGCCTGGATCAAGATAGCTATCAAGGACGAGGATTGGGCTATTATGTCAGTTTATGCGCCAGTTGACTACACAACCCGCATTGAATTCTTTGCAAATTTACCAAAAGTGATCGAGACACAGAAAACTTGATTCTGGCTGGGGACTGGAACTCTGTGTTGGTCCCAGGACTAGATTCCCCACGACCTAGGTCGCTTAGAACTGATGGTCAACTATTCTTATAATTTGTTAATACACAAGGTCTCTTTGATACATATCGTACTCTGAATCCCCACTTCACAGGCTACACTTGGCACGACCCTAGGCCTTTCTCCCGAGCACCCCAGCCAAAAAAAAAATAGATGTAATTTTTGTACATGGGACACCTTGGGATCGATGCATTGGTGCAGACCTAAAGTTTGGGTCTATGGCTGACCACAACTCGGTGGTGATGGACATCATTGCAAAGGATATTATTGACAAAACCTCCATTTAGACTAAATGTCAAAATTTTGAAAGACCCGGGGATCCCCTCCTGGATATTTAGGCAAGTGAACGACTGGGACACGGCAAGAGACTTGTTCCACAACTTGGAAGAGTGGGCTGACGCGGGCATAGGAATTATCCACACAACTATGAAAGAATTCTCCAGGATGAAACCAATGTTTCGCTCGTAGAAAGAGAAATCTCTTATTGCATTTATTGAAGAAGCTGAAAGATCAATGAGTGACGATCCTTTTGTCGAATACTATTGGTCAATCAGGAAAACTACATCGCTTGCAGAACTTGAACATTTAGAAATACAGCGTCAGTCTGACTGGTTGGAATGTCTGAAAGTCAGAGGAATCATTGGGTATGACCGGATGACAAAACTCACATTACGGTCTCTAATCCTCCGTCAAGCCAAACCTTTAATGAGGGAATTGAATCACGCTTTCTCACTCACCGCTCCTCCGACTTTGGAGACCTCCAAAATTTGCTCTTATGCAATGGAATACTTTAAAGATATAGGGACAACTAGACGTCCATTTGACTCATTTGATACAGACCTTTCTGTTCACTCAGATTTCTGGAATTGAACAAGGAATAAAGTTCCCCGAGTCCAGAAAGAGCTATTAGAAGCCCCTATCTCTGAAAAAGAGGCATGGTTGGCAACCAAACAGATGGCTTTAGGGAAATGCCCAGGACCTGGTAGTCTTCCAATCGAACTCTTTCTCAGTACATGGGAAGCTTTTGGCCCATTTTTGTGCAAGATCTACAATGCAGTTCTAACCAGGGGTACTTTACCTAAAGGGATAGTCCGAGGTATGGTCTCAAGAAGTACTAAAAAAGGTGCTAGTGGCAAAGGTACTCCTTGAGGTAATAAAAAACTCAGAAAATGAAGCCCATGAGTTTGAAATCCCACTATAGTAAGCCCAATAAAAAGAGAGATAATGAAAGACCAAAGGTGACCACAAAATGACTCTCTCTTCTGTACAAAAAAGAGGACAGAAGGGAGGTTCGTAATTGGAGACTGATTTCTGTTTTAAATGTGACCAACAAACTGTTGGGGAAAATCCTAGCGCTCAGACTTGCTGAGATCCTCCCTGCTTTGGTAGGGGCAGATCAGGGTGCTTTTGTTAAAGGAAGATCAAGCTTTGAAAATATTTTAACAACGATTCAGACCCTCGAAATCATTCGAAAGAAAAGGCGAAACCTAGCCATCTTGATGCTCGATATGAAGAAAGCTTATGACAAAGTGGGATGAGCCTTTGTGAACACAACTTTACTAAGGCTGGGCTACTTGGATGAAAGCATTGTATGTGAACACAACAACTGCAATAATTGTGAATGGAAAGCTTTCTGAAGAACTCACGCTAACTTGTTCTTTAAGACAGGGTTGTCCTCTGGCCCCATTGATCTTTGTTCTTCAACTAGAAGTTTTATCAGATAATATTAGGTCTAATAATATTATAGAAGGTTTGAGGCCCCCCCCAACACTGCAGTGGAAGGGTGGAACCATTGATAATGACCTTACCATGACCTGCACAAATTCCTCTATTTGTATGCTTGAATTACATAAGGTTATTGATAATTACTGCAGATTGTCGGAAGCCTCAATACATTGGGACAAATCAGTCTTTTTCCTCCCCCCCCCAATTTGACTTGTGTGTGGATTGGGGTCTACGCCGAATTCCTGCAAATTCATCAGACATATTCGTGGGAGTACAAGTGTCTTTATTAGACCGCTCTTCTACACAGGACGACATCTTGGTGGGGAAAGCGTTTGCAAGAATAGAGAAGTGGGAGAGGAGGCATACTCTCTCCCTCTTTGGTTGAGCTTTGGTCTTGTCCGCGACAGCCTTTTCGACCCTCTGGTTCCCATTGGTGGTCTGCTTGCTAGGGGAGGAAGCATATAACAAGAGAAAAAGAGCAGCGGCTAGATATCTCTGGAAACCATCTGCTACAGAGGATCAGGGATTCATCTCCAAAGTGGCCTGGGAGGCAACAACTCGACCCCGTAGTCAAGGAGGTTTGGGGGTGCTAGACCCAGTGCAACAAAATCTTGCTCTTCTGTCCAAATGGCCGGTTCAAGCTATGGTTGGGGATGATAGTAAAGTTTGGATCTGCGGGGCCATTATGCGAGACATGAGAGCAGGTTGTTCCGCACACTACTGACCTTCAGGAGGTCTGCGTTCTCTACCAAGACAACCAGAAGGGGAAGGCGTCAGCCGTGCTGGGGAGAGATGCAGACTCCTATCGTGTAGAACCCCTACTGTTTGGATGGAAGGGGCTCAAGTCTAGCAGCTCCTTTACTCCTCTTAAACTATACAAATATAAAATAGGGGTTGAAATAAAGTGCGGTCAGTCAAAGGTCAAGCCTGTTACTCTGGCCCTTAAGAGAGCTGAACAACAGGGACTAACAGATGTATCTGAGGACAACTTGAAGATCTTATGGATTGCCTTGAAGAAAATGCCATCCAAAAAACAAGCAGCAATTATATGGTTACAATCTCTCCTCATTACTGCTACTGCAGCATGGCCATTTGCGAAAGGTATGGACCTCTCCTCAACTTGCCAACGCTGCAGCTGGGGATGGGAAGACCGCGCCCACCTATGGCTCTTTTGCCCTCTGCTACATGATCTCTTGGAATGGTGGAAAAGGCGCTGGCATCTACTCTATGAGCAGGAAGTGCAGTGGTCAGACAATTGGTGGTTAACAGGCTTGTTGCCACTAGGTCTCAGTTTCCACTCAAGCATTGGATATGTAGCACTCTGCTGCCGAGGGGCACTGTTGGAAGTCATCTGGTCAGCACGGAATGCAAAAGTCTTCAAGGGAGAGTACTTTTCTCTTCAACAGCAGAAGACCCTGATGAAGAATAAACTAAGCTAAGTAAGCTTAACTATTATGGCAGATTGGTCACAACACCGTACATCTGGCTCCAGGAATCTATTATGGTTCCAACGGTCTTGGGGTCTGGCTATTACATGGGCGGTAGTTAGCCCTGAATGCTCTTTTGAGATTGCTTCATGGCTGCTTAGCCAAGATGACTGACCATGATTGGAGAAACAGGTCGTTTTAGACCACAATTAAGTGCTTGCCTTCTCCGGTTGTTTTCTCCTAGGGTAGATGTAGTATTGATTGTAGCAGGTCATGGTAATGTGTTCTTATGTTTTCAAGGAGTAAGACTAGACATAGTCATCAACCTCTTTTCTGAGTTTCAAGTTTGATTTTTTTTTTGGCAAGGTGTATTTTGAGATCAGATGGGATGCTGAACCCGTTTTGCAGCCGAGCCTAAACTGGGTAATGGGCCCAGGATAACTCCGGGTTGAAATGTGAGGTCCCCGACCTCTTTTCCATCTGGATATTAATATAACGTTCAACTTTTCGAAAAAAAAAAAAGAAAAAAAAGCGATATTTTGAAGCCTCTCCCCGCTACTCTCCAGATGAACAAAGATAAAAAATATAGTGTTGTATCTTTCCATATTCTAGCAGAATATTCTCTTTCCGTTTGCACATTTGTGACGAGCGGAAGTCATTTCTTTTTTTTGTCATTTTCTTGGGCAGTGGCGGGGCCAGGGCCTCACTCCATGACTCTCCACATGCACAAAAGACATTGAGAATGAATCTACCTCCAAAACATAGAAAGATGGGGTCCCCGGCCCCGATGTGGGAACTCTCTTTTATGCATTGAAATTTACTGCTTCTCAAAAAAAAAAAAAAAAAAAAAAAAAACATAGAAAGATGTGCAACCAATTTCTTCTTTTATCTTTTGTGCATGTGGAGAATTGCAGAGTGAGCCACTTCTGCTCACCACAAAATGTGCAGGGCCTGGGGCCTCAACGACAACTTTGGAGGACGAAGCGAGGGGCGGCGCCGAAGCGCTCAAGCCTCGTGACGCGTCGCGCTAATTTCGTTAGGGTTTCCTCAGCAGACGCAGAGCTTGGACGCCATAGCCCTTATTCGATAGACGCCGAGTTTAGATGCCATAGCCCGGGGCRCTTAGCACGGGYAAGGCGTGTCGTGAAGCCRTCGAGTTTMRGTGTRAACTTGAGCAACAGCGATGTGAACTCGTCCTTGGCGTTGTGGACAGGTGGTGGGCCCATCAGGAGGGAGAGTGGGTTATATGTATACTTGGACTTCGAACAATCTGAACATTTTGAACTGAAGAGCGCAGTGTGAAAGCGCCCTTCCCATGGAACATGCATGACTTGCACGCCTCAGCAAGGGACTAAGCAGCACCAGGGAGATATCGGGAGCATCAAGATGCAGAGGAGATGAAACGTACAGAAACTAAGTCTGCAAAGAAGAAGTCTGAAGTATGGCGAGCTGGCTTGGTACGGCGAGGTGGGAAGATATCTGCCTATGTGAGACCGTGAACGCTATTGTTGGCGGAACGTATCCAGCCGTTGGAGACAGATTATCGACTGCCAAAGGGCGAAGTTTCAGAGTAGGCGCAGTGCCACATAAGATCTCACAAGGAGAGTGTTATCCAGCCTTTGTGGGGGGACAACAAACTTTCAGGTGGAAGATGAGCGGCAGGTTAAGTGTTGTACTCCGCTGTTCAGGTAGGGCGGACCTCTGTGTGTGTGTGTGTGTGTGTAAGAGAGAGAGAGAGAGAGAGAGAGAGAGAGAGAGAGAGAGAGAGAGAGAGAGAGAGAGAGTAGATGAGGCTAGATTAGTCCTTTCGTTTTCTTTTTTCCTTTCCTAGGGTTTCTGGATACGGGATGGCGTAGAAGATGTATGGAGGAACACAAAGGTCGAACGACGAAGGTAGGAAAATAATGAATAAACAGGTAGCATGGTGGCTAGGTCAGAAGGCTCGGATAAGAGAGAGAGAGAGAGAGAGAGAGAGAGAGAGAGAGAGAGAGAGAGAGAGAGAGAGAGAGAGAGAGAGAGAGAGAGAGANAGAGAGAGAGAGAGAGAGAGAGAGAGAGAGAGAGAGAGAGAGAGAGAGAGAGAGAGAGAGAGAGAGAGCAAGGTAGACCACGGCAACACAGTCTGAGAGGCCGCAAAAGACACACCCTGGAAGAGAAGCAAACAACAGATCGAAGTTAAAAGCCTCATGCTCAGATCCAAGGATATCCATAGCCAGCCACTAAGACGAGCACCGGTGATGTCCCTCGACCGGTTTCATCTGCCCACCGAGCAGAACTCATCAGGAGGGTGAACGAATGTTCGTGTGCCCAAAGAGGAGGCTGAAGCCGTGCCTCCTCTATTTAACAGATTTGTCATACACTAGCCCACCGTACATAAAACGCAGCGAACATGTCGAGCGGCTATAGCCCTCGTATTTGCGCTGAGTTTCAACGTATCACTATTGTCTTCAAGCATTCATCGTTAAGCCAGTAGTCCAAATTTGAACTAGTCTTTCCGAATGCTAACCGAGATGCTTGCCAGATTCATATCAGGTGTCCTCCAAAATAGATCCTAGGTTCCTACGAATGCTCACGCGTTTCTCCGTCTAAAAACAGTATAAAAAATAGTCGGAAGTACAAAATTCCCTTATGTTGTACAACAGACAGCGATGCACCAAAATATCGCGTCTTGTACTGGGATGGGTACCCGAGCAGATTAAATCAAGAAAAACCCTTTATATCGTACATTAGACCGCAATCCAAACCAGATATCACGCGCTGTATCCGGACTGGTATCGTAGTAGGTTAACCCAAAATTTTAGGACCCGCCCAGTCAAGATCATGTATAACTAAATATGGGGTCGACCGCGCGGAGAAATTGAAGGTCGGGTTGACAAAACGACAAAAGTGAAACCGACAAGACAAAATCGGCAAAGTCGTGATGGTCCTAATCGTGTCATCCACCCTTACGGTGGGGTCTTCGACGACGAACCGATGTACTTCACCCGTGTCCCTGTACCCGTTCAGCCAGCGCATCCTGGTCAAAAATAGTGTTGGGGTCCACCTCCCGAGTAGCGGTCAAGTGGGCCCCCGGAACAAAGGTAGCCGAGATTCCAGAGAGCTTCGTTACCTGAACCTCCTGAAGCTGGACTTCGCAGAATAAGCTACCAACATCTTCGAGAGTGCCGCGTTCTCTGCAGTCTTGGCCAATTCGGCTAAGGCACTGAGAGAGACCTCCGGGGGATATCCCCAGAGGTGTGCTTCGCATACCGTGAAAGCAATCGCCCCCAAAACCAGCGGTTTGCTGGTTGAGTGGGACCAGAGACGTTTCATAGTGGCTGACAGTACAACTTTCTTCACCTTCTTGTCGGAGTAGGACGCGTAGTCCTGGAAGGTTTGGAACAACAGCTTCCAGGTCTCATACAGGGCTTCTGTGTTCTTCGTTCTGGGAACATAGTGGAGCTGCAGCGGCCCATTTCCGATCATCATGGAACCAACGACGAAATCCCATTCTAGTCCACATTCCTCGTTCCGTATGATCTCCAAGCTGGTATCGTAGCATCCCTCAAACAGTTCGAAGAGGCATTGTGGGTACTCCTCGCGGTGATAAGAAACAAGTAGGCCGGCTACCACAGATATGTCGTCCATGATTCTCCAACCTGCTATAAGTCTTCTGTCTGTCCCAAGTGCTCGGAGAAAGCGTTCTTCCGCCATCGCGCACGTGATCGAGGCCAGCATTGGACTCGTCGGTTTTCCCATTGGAATACCGAAGATTTGCTTCATCACCTTTGATCCGCACTTAATGAAGGAGTGCCGCAGGTCGAACTCTACGGTTAACAAGATCTCCTTCAACTTAATACTAATGTAACCGTCTTGCTTCCTCGATGTCTTACTCAGAATGCAAGCCCGAACTCTGAAAGAGACTTTTACCTGCCTCCACTCGGCATCCTCAAATCGCCTCAGTAGCTGGCGGACTGATTGTAGAACTGGATCATGGGGTATGCGGGAAAACATCTCCTTTATGTCGTAACATCTGCCAACCGCCTGCTCGCACTGCTCGCAGCCAGCTGCCTTCAGCCTGTGTGTGGTCGCCTTCAGCTTGTCCGCTAGATCGGAGATCGAGTTGAGTGCAGTGCTCTAGCCACTCAGCGTTGGGCCAGTCCCGCCGGATCTTCCGGAGCGGGAGCGATGGGTCTCCATCTGTTGAGATCCTTGTGCTTGGGAATGACATATGCGTTCCCCAGACGTTCGTCCCGCTTCCAGGCTCCCAACTTCTGCAGGCCCGCAACCAGAAATTCCTCCTTGCAACTAGTCAACGCCTCCGACTCAGTGGAGCTCTTCCCTACCGGCTCGTAGTTAGTGTTCCACAGGAAAGTCATTCCAAAAGCGTGCCAGTGGAAGACCGGACAAATGATCGCTGTGTCACCCGGAGTTCTATCTATCGGGAGCAGGACGAAACCCCTATAGTCCGCACTCCATTTCCGTACCTCAACGTCGGTCCAAGCTGCCGATTGGTGATCGTCACAACTGCCGGTGCCTTCCGGAAAGTGCAGTAGGAACACTTGTGTTCCGAGATGCCTAGTGGCCTCGGAAATCGCTTGCAGTATCGTCCGTTCGTCATGGGTATTCGCCGGTTTTGTGATGTTCTTCGAGTTCCGAACAAACCACAGTACTTGATTGGTATCGAGATCTGCGAAACACATTGACACGTGCCCGTCGGTCTTCGGTAGCTTGGACGAAGTGCAGGGGCAAGGCATCTCATCATCCGTGGCGAAGAACTTCTGATTGTGTATCAGCTCCCCGACAGTCCTGTTCTTCTTCCACATCACCCGAATCCGGCTCTTCACGAAGTTCGCAAGATGGTTCTCCCGAATCTTGTAATCAATCAACTCCCCCGTCGCCTTCGGGACTAGCGTCTTCCTGACCCGAGAATCAAAAGGTAACATGACATTCACGCTCTTTCTCACGCTGATCCCTGTAGTCTCCCGCAATGCTCTATTGATTTTGAGACGTAGGGACAACTTGGATTTCCCATCTGTCAGTGTCCCCGCAGCCCTTTAAAGGCCTATCAACTTGTTTGACAACATCTTCAGAAAAAAATGACTTTGGCTTGGGCCTTCGCAACAGACCTATCAGAATCCTCCTGTTCACCTCAGTGGTAGTCTTCGTCCGAGTGATCTTCGTCACCAACAGCTGTGCCCCTTCTTGTAGGAGTCTCTTCGCTCCTTTGAGATGCATGTCCGTGCCATTAACCTTAACTCTAGATTCACCATAGAGTCGTCGGATTCGCCTCCAACTATCAGCCCAAAAAGTACCTTTTACAGTAACCACACGTGTCACCGTCTTCCCTGTCTTCAACGAACCTGCTTTGGTCCGAACTTGTTCGAGAATCCCAATCAGCGAGACCAGATCCACTCCTCCGGTACGAAAAACGACCGACTTGCAGTGAGGAGATCACCGAGTCCGTCCCTTCCTTTCCCTCCTACCCTTCTTGTTCGAGTGCCTAACCCTCTTCTCCATCCTCTGTAGGTCCCTCGAATTCAGACAAGGGCCGAGATCCGTTATCAGAAACCTTTCAAAATTATAATCGTTCACCCCAATCGCATGTCTGATAGGCAGGATCAGATACTTGTCAGGGCCAAACGCTCGCATCCACCGGTACAGGTGGGGAGTCAGGCCTATCACATCGTTCCTAGCATTAGCATAATGTTCTCTCCAACGTTGTGCCATTGACCTAACGGTACAACCAATGTACAGTTTCTTGGTCCACGGACTTACCACTGCATAGACCCCTAGGGGTTTCAGACTCGTTAGATTCGTCAAATTATCAGCTTTTGCGACAATTTTCTCGAGCCATGGTATCTGACCACTTAATGTTAGGGTCACGGTCGAAGTCGTAATCAGACTTTCGACTTTCCTAGTGCGCTCCCCTCTGCCACCCTGCTCCCACAGTAAGGACCTAAGACGTAAAGCATACGTAAGCGTGTCCCAGAGTTCCCTATTAGTGAGAGCGGCGTCCCGTCAGTCGGAGTCGTCCTCTGGTTGCTCGCTTGCCGACATCAATGTAACATGTGCCTTACACCCGACCGATGTTTCTAGTTTCTGCT